GTCCCCACCTTGCCCAGCATGTCATGGTGGGGATGGATTCAGATCAGACACAAACTGCCTCCAGCTCCAGTGTGGACACGGTGAGTGACACAAGAGCCTGGCTCTGTGTGCTGGGAAAATGCTGTCACTCCCTGCCCTGACAGTGACATTCCTGCTCACAGGGAGCAGCACAGCCCACTGTGGGGACACAGCACCCAGTGCTCCCATTCATGATTGCTGGGGACGCCAGCAGCAGTGCCAGACTTCGTGAGATCTCTGAGGTCCATACAGCTGCCGCCGCTCACAGGGCCACCTGCTGTCACCCAGGGGTGGCGGTGGGGACGCTGCGGGCGGCCCTGGCCGGGCGGGCCTGTTTCCGCTTTGCAGGGAGCTGTTATACAAAGGCAGCGGTGATATTATTCATTAACAGTAATCTGCCATTAGAACATTGACAAATGGCCCCTCGGCGCCTGAGCATCAGTTCTGGTACAGCCCATAAAGCATGGGGACAGTTTAAATATGGACCTGCTCAGCTCGGGCCGGGGGTGATCCGTCTTCCCGGCCATAGCACAGGTGCAGTGGGGTTGCCTCCAAATGAGCACGTCTGGGGGGGCCCTGCAGTCCCTGACCACCCACAGCCCAGCGGGGCAGCTGCTGCATGGAAAAGCTCCCTCCGTGCTCCGGAAGCGTCTCGGCCCAGTGCACGGCGGTTGCAGCAGCGCTCAGCCCCCTGAGCCCCCGTGGTGGAGGTGTCTGTGTGGTTTGATCCTGTGGGAGAGGTGGGAGAATGCTGGCAGGGCAGCACACATAGCCCCTACTCTTCTCCCCAGTGCTTGGGCTGGATGTGGAGGTGATGCTCTCCTGGAGTGAGCATTGCTGCTCCTGGCAGCCCGATCCAGCAGCACAGACTGCTGCTGATGGAATCCTTGAGCTCATGCTGGGTTCACAGCGGTGCTGCCGTGCAGTGGCTGGTGGGAGGGTACACGCCAGGCAGTCAGCCCAGTGCCATGGGCTGGGGGCTTTCTGCCTCCATCTCAGCAGAGGAGTGCAATGGAATGTCTGTGCACTCCAATGACAAGGCAGCCAATGATGCTGAACGGCCACAAACTCCAGCCTAAACTTAGGAGAGCATCCTGCTGTCCCATGCATGTGCATGTGTCGCTGTCCTTGGCTGTCACTGCAGTGAGAGCTTGGCAGGACATGGAGAGGGCTGAAATGAGGGTGTCAGGCCAGTGTGGTGTCACAATGGATAATGCTGAACCACAGGGGCAGGAGGGTTAAAACTTGGTGGGCTAAGCCAGCCAGGGTGAGTGGAGGCTGGGGTGTCACATTACCCCACACTGCACTGGCAACTGGAGTTGGAGAGTCCCAGAGGTATCCAGCCCCAGAACCCAGCACCTCAGGGCAAGCTCAACCCCAGCCATCCTGGGCCACTGCACGGGGACATGGGGTGAAGCTCGGAAGCAACACAGCAAGGTGAGGGGCACGGAGGCAGGGCTGGGCCACTGCTCTGTTTGCATGATAACCCCAGGCTCACCCCTTTCACACACACCGCACAACACCCCTAAATCAATTGCATCTTATTATTACAATATCAATATACAATATTCCTACAATAACACCATTGATTTTCTACTCAGAGGCTGCACCTAAGTCTGTTTTAAAGAGGAGGGAGTTAATAGTGCCCTCATTAAAAATCTATAGATTACCCCCCACCCCAAAAAAAAGAAAAAGCAGTTTATATTCATTAGGGCTATTGAATATAAAGTAATATGTTTGTGTAGGACATTGGAGTAATGTGATAATCCGTCCGCATATCAGGGAGAAATCCACTTAGCAACCCTGTCAGCTTGACAAGAAAAATGTGCCCATAAAGTCGGGAATACATTGAGGGAGTGAGCGGGAGGAGAGCGGGGGCGCGCGTGCACGTGTGCGCCTGTGCAGAGCCATGCTGGCCATCAGCGTGGGACCACCTTCACCCCGTCACCCTGCGCAGCCCTGGGACACAGCTGGGCACCCCTCAGCCCCTGGAGGTTCTGGGGCGGGGACACGCCAAGTGTGCCAGGATGGGGATCAAGCTGGGGGGCTCCGCAACCTGCCAGCCTCCCCAGCCCCAGGCAGGGGCACCAGACGGGACAGGTTGGTGGGTGCCAGCCTGGGTGCCAGGGCAGCACTGCCACAGCTTCGTGCCCCCCAGGGAGAGCCGGGCTGGGTGGGGGCTGCAGCATGGGCAGGGCTGCCTGTGCCCTCCTGCCAGCCTCGGACTCTGCTTGTCCCCTGCCCCGTGGTCACCTCTGCGATGGATTAAGCACTGAAAAGCAGCAGAGCAATCCCAGTCGCACTCTCTTAGGCTGTCAATTGCCATTTTTGTAATAGAAATTCCTTTCACAAGGTAACGACGGCCAGATTTAGAGGATTTCATATTGTTAATAATTCCCCAAACAGCCATCTGACTGTGTTGTTTTAAAAGCCGCTTAGTTTTTTGCTTTGGAGTTTATGAAAATCTCCCACTCTAATATCCCGAGAGCCAGCCTATAATTGTGTTATTAAATCAATCGGAGCGGATTACATTGTAAAATCAATAGATGGCTGTAATTGCATATTAGAAAGTTGTTCTGCTGTTGTTGATTTTTTTTTACATGGATAATTATAATAAGCGTGTTTACCTTAGCGCTGATTTGGAATGAGTCTCACTAAATGATGTATGACGAGCTCGGCACACTCGCTGCCAGGGGCCGTGGCATCCTTTGGGACAGCAAGGACAGCACTGGCAGCATGGGCATGTGGGTGGCATTGACCCAATAGGGTCCCACCAGTTTTGCAGGGTCCAGCTCAGAGTTCAAGGTGTCTCCCAGTGCTGGCACCTGACAACACAGCACACTAGGGTTTTGGGGAGACAAATGATGGGGTGCAGGAAGCAGACAGCAGTCACAGACAGACAGCGGTCACAGGTCTCTGTGCAGTTCCCCCTCAGCAGTATGGAGCAATAATCAAGCCCCAGTGCCCACTCCAGCTCAGGGCAAGGCTGCAGGCTGTGAAGTTGGCAGTGGGACATCTGGGGCTGTGCTTTCACATCCAAACTGCTCCCTTGCCTCCCACCTGCCAGAGCTGCAGCATTGGCTTTGCTGTTACTTTTTGGGGGTACCAGGCCAGGGCTGGCTGGGTGGGGGTACTTTGATCACAGACAGTTGCACTCTTCTTACCTGTTTCCCCAGCTTTCAAGCCACTGTTACCCTGTTAGATCCCACTGGCAGCTGGTTCCAAGGGTTGAGGCTTTTCCAAGGGGCTCAGTTGTCTGGGGGACAACTGAGATGGAGCAGGTGATCCTAAGGACAGTGAGGGGATCGCTTGAGTGGGAACAAGTGACAGCAGCAGGAGCTGGCATTGTGGCTTGGCTGGGCAGAACACCTGTCACCTCCAGGGGCCTTATGCAGCCATCAGTGTCACCTTGGGCAGCAGAGAGGACAAAGGCACAGAGAGATGGGCTCACCTCTGCTCCCATGCCAGCCAGTGGGCTGGGGACCCCCCTCCTTTGTTGGCCTGTCCTCATGCCCAGCTGCTGTTCCCTGTCTGGCACACAAGTGACAGGAAGGGATGCCACAAGAGGGTCTCGGGAGACACTCCAGAGGCACGTGGCACTGATGGGGAAGTTACCTCTTTCACTGCTAACCATCAGCCAGGAGGGTCCCTGGCAGCTCCTGGCAGCCCCTCGGGGAGCTGCACACGGGGAAAGTCCTGAACCTCGCACAGACGCTGGGGGACAGGCAATGGCTTTGCCAGGGGGTCACTGGGCACAGCGGGGCTGGGCAGTGCTGCTGGTGTGGCAGGGAGCATCCAGGAGGCCGGGCAGCCCCATCCCTGCAGGCAGATGCCTGGCAGCAGGACAGCGCTGCCCGGCTGCGGGGGGCCCTCAATCCGGCACGCGGCACTGTCAGCAGGCAGCCTGCTGTCTCCTAGACAGTGAAATATGGCCACAATTAGCCCGGATACAGTTCAATTATGATAAACAGCGTTTGCACCCTTTAAGCTGTGATTAAAAGGCCTCCTCCCGTTGATAGAGAGACCTAATTTCACATTATTATCGCTGTAGCTTGATTATAAAGCACTCCCTGGATTTACAGTTGGGAGATGGATGTGGAGGCTTCTTTATCATTTACACATCAGTAATGATGCAGCCTTCCCTCCACCACAACATCCATCCAGCAGCAGCAGGGAGAGGGGGGCCTCGCCTGTACCCCCCTCCCGGGGCACCCTCTCCCCGTGTCAGCCAGGCCCCGCTGCCACACGCAAGTGGGCAAAGTCACCCTTACGGTAACAGCTTGATAAATGGGCGGGCGGTAATGAAATGGAGACATCAAGGCGTGGGGCGAGGAAGAAAGAGTGGTAATCGGAACGAGTGGAGCTGTCCCGAAACGGAGGGGAGCGGGAAGAAGGATCGCCTCTGCGCCGTGTGCTGTCAAGGGAGAAATTACACATTTACTCTTGCTTTTTCTTAAGGAGACGGCCCTCATAGATCAAAACATGGATTTACAAGCCAATTTTCAACATGAAATATAGACACTAGGAATCAATTTAAGCCCAGCTTCTATTTTAGCAAACGGTGCCTGAGTTTAGTCCCAGGTAAATAACACCAGAGCCTTCCCCTTTCCCATCTTGCTGCTCTGCCACGGCCCAGCACCAGGAGTGGCTGTGGCTTGCCATCCCAACCACCTGCCACTTGTCAAACTCTGGTCGGTGAGCACAGGGAGGCGCCGCAGGCTGGCTCTGGTGGGGACTTGGATGACCCCAACCTTCAGGTCCAGAGCATGGATCCATCTCAGCGCAGCACTGGGTCATACTGGGATGCAGGTGACCAGTGCTGGGACTGGGAACTCTGCAATCACACCACATCACTGCAAGGTCCTTGGGACAGAGTACCCGGACTGGTGAGAACACAGGCATGGCATGGGATTCAGAACTTGCTCCAGCAACTCTTGTTTGGATCGTGCCTCTAACCCAGTATCTCTGTGCTTTCTCCTTAGACGACTGCAAGAACATTGCCAACATCATGAAGACACTGGCCCATAGAGGCTTCATCTTCAAGCAGACCTCCAAACCTTTTTGATCCCCGAGGCAAGCCAGGCAAGGGCTGCATGCGCCCGGTGCCGGCGAGGCGGGGAGGACGGGCTCCAGCATTAAAAAAAACCCGGCAACCGAGGCCAGAGGAACCGACACAAAAAAAATCTCAATTTCAGCTGTTAACTCCAGTAGAGGTTGTATATATGGGAAGGCAATTCTGTGTAGACCTGATGTGACTCCCTCTCTGGGCTGCTCCGGACATTATGCCATGCTAGCGGACAGCCGCATAGGGCGCTTGCACCACATTTTAGACTTGTAGTTCGTTCTTTTTCTTTGGCTCCTGATTTCCGTCCCTCCCTCCATATCCCACCCCGTCCTCCCTCTCCCACCCCGTAGCCAGAGCATCCCCCATCTCCACCCTGGCATGGGCCATACCCACCTTCCCTTCTTCTTTCTCTTCTCTGGTTTTATGTTTTCAGGCCTCGACAGCTGCTGCAGCGATGCCGGCGTGTGCCTGCACTCGGGCAGCGCTCACGGAGGCTCAGTGTGTCGAGACGGCCCCTCGCCCTCCCCGCCAGCTCCCCCCGCCTCTCCCCTGAGCGCCTTTTCCCCTTTTTGAGTCAACACTAACCCCTCTCTGACTCCTGTATGTGACAAACGCGATCCGTCTCTTTATGTTCAAGGTGAAGTGCCTGTATTCTCCGCTGCAGAGCCCCTGGCAGTCCCACCGTGGGCTGCAGGGTCCCGGAGGGCTCCCTTCAGTGAGGCAGGGGCCCAGCGGACAGGCGGGCGGCAGGAGGGAGGTGACAGTGTCCGCATGGAGCCCCGTCCCGTCCCCGTTCCGTCTGCTCGTGCCTCTTGCGGGGCTGGGTGGGATGCCCAGCCCTGCCTCGTCCCTGCCGATCAATTCCAGCTCCATGGGGGACAGGCCCGCCACAGCACCGTGTCCGTGTCCGGTGGTGGACGTGCCAGCGCGCGCTGGCCCCCGGCCCACAGGTACCTGAGCAGGGGAGCTGCAAATTGCCCCAGGCCCCTGAGCGTGCTCCCCACCAACCTCCCTCGGTTCCGAGCTGAGGCTCAGCCCCCCACGTGCTGTGCCCCTCACAGGTCCCCGCGGACGCTCAGCAGCAGCTGGCTTGTTGCCTGAGAGAGTTGCCGAGCACATCCCCTCCGGCTGGGTGGGCTCCCGGCTGGCCAGGGCGGTTGGGGGGAGCCGTGGGGCGGGCTGAGGGCGCACGTCCTCTCAGTGTCACCCAGCCCCAGGGCCCTGCTGAATGGAGCCCTCGTCCGGGCACTGACCTGCAGGGAGGCTGCAGCCCCAGGCCCGTGCATGCATGGCCTGGAGCGAAGCCGGTGACGGCAGCCAGAAGGGCAATACAGGCACTGAACTTGGCGGTACATGACTGCATGGTGTGTGGTGTTCCAGTTAAACCAACCGATAATGCAACCCCAGCATTTTCATTGTCTAGTTATTCCAATCCTTGCTGTAAATGTGCCACATGAATAAAGTTTGGGGGTAAAGGAGCCCGGGCTGTGCCCATGCATGTGCAAGTGTGTATGGGGGGCAGAGGGAGGGGAGTGCCACCTGGATAGGTGGGAGTAGGATGCTCCCTGAGGTATGGCACAGCCACGCTCCCCATAAAAGGGTTTTGGCTGTGAAAGGGCGGTCAAGGTTCCCTGCTGCTGGGAGCACTGCCCCACTCTCCAGTATGGGCACTGTGTGGGCACCTGCCCCAAGGCAGCAATGCCCTGAGGATCCCACCAGCCCATCACAGTTGGGCCTTATGCAGGGATGCACCCCACGCAGTTTTCTGCCCAGTGCAGCGTGACAGCCACCACTACATCCCACTGGCACCTGTCACCCTAACCTGTAGCCTGGCACATCGTACCCACACAGCTGCCACTGCATTTGGAGCATCTTGGCTACAGAATGGAGCCAGCGTGGCTCTGCTGGGCCCTGGGGCACCTGCTCTGCCCCACGAGTGTAATGCTGTGGGGTGCAGGAACTGCATCCAGGTGCCCAAGGGACCTGCCCTGTGCCTGAGTGCCACTGGATGACAGGGGTGCAAGTATCCAGCTAGCACCGAGTGGGCAACTCCCAGAGGGGAGTCCAGCCCATTTGCTCCATGCAAAGGTCACAGGGGTTTTACCAGTTCCATCTGTGCAGCCCCTGATCAGCTTTATTGACCCTTTTTCGATGGGAGTCGTCTAATTAGTTTTTTATGAAAACTAAGAACTTGGCCTTTGCCCTCTACTCCTGCAGGCGAGAATGTGACTCAGAGGACATTGTCACGGTGGATCGATGATGGCAAGTCACACTTGGAAAGCAGGTGTAGGGAACACAGGGTGGGCAGATGGGCATCAGCCCAGAGCAGGGCACACAGCCAGGGCCACCAGTGCCCACAGTGGCAGCACATAAACCCAGGCTCCCACTGCAATGCCTCAGCCCCTCCAAGGCCCTGCAAAACGATTGCAGGAACCAGACAGAAGCCTTGGGTGGGGCAGCAAGAGGTGGAACTCTGCTGACAATGAGCTGGGGACGAGTGTTTCCAGCAGGGGCAGCCCCTTACGCAGGCAGGGCACCACTTGCAGGTGTCGGGCACAGAAGAGTTACTGGAGGAGAGCAGCTACACAAGGGCTGGGCACGAGGGAGCTCCAGCCTGGTGTAGGCAGCACAGGAGCAGCCTGGCTCAGGACATGGTAGCCTCAAAGGCAGCAGGGGCTGCAGCAACTGCAGCTGTCACCTGGTGACTGAGGCAGATGGGCTCAGGGACAGCCAGCAGCTGCCAACAGGGTCAGTGGCACCCAGCCTGCCTGGGACGGGGGTGAGACAGCTCCATGCACCAGAGCTAGTGGCCGCAGAGCAGCCATGGGTGGCCTGGGGCAGAGCTTTGCACATCCCTGGGGCAGCTCTCCAGCACCTGCTGCAAGTGCCTGGAGGTCAGATGGGGTCAGGGCTATGGCACTGGGCAGGTGATAGCTCCCACTTTTCTCTGGAGCACTGCAGTGTTTGCCCCAGCAAGGCCCCTGTCCTGTCCCATGGCTGGAAGCAGCCAGCTGTCCTAGGGGCTCCAGGACAGCCAGCACTGCCCCTACACCTCCTCATCCTCACCCTGCACAGAGTGCTCACGGCTTCTTCACCCTCTTGATGGAGAAGGAGCTGGAGGCCAACTCCCTTAACTTCCTCTGCTCCAAAAGGTAGACAGGAAAGAAAAAAAAACCAGGAACAGCAGGTGGGAGCACTTGGGTTATGGCAAACACATCCACCCATCTCAGAGCTAGCCCCAGGGCTTGAGCATCACTCCAGGCAGTGCCAAATGGACTACACTGCCTGGCTGAAGGCAGAGCCAGGTCTTTGCATGACAGGAGGGACAGAGCTAATCCTGCAGTGACAAGACGGTGGGATGGCACCCTCACAGGGGATGTTACCTCCTTGACATAAACAGGGCTTTAGGATGGTCAGGAGGAAGGGGCTGAGCTCTGCAAGAACTGGGTGGCCCCAGGAGCCCTGACCAAGCAAGCCAGCATGCACCAAGTCCCAAGGAGCAGGACACTGCATCTGAGTGAGACTGTGCCAGGTGCCACACGGACCCTCTGCCCTCAGCCATGGCAGGGTCAGCACCCAGAGCTGGGTGCCCCAGGCACGGCACAGCTCCCAGGTACCCGTGTGCTGGCTGCTGCAGGGACACGAGGTGCCAGAGCCCCGGGTCCCCACGGCACAAGGCACGGCAGGCAGCGGCACAGGGACTGCAGTCTGTGCCTGCTGTGCCCAGCCCCGCAGCCCTCCCCTGCTCCCAAGGGCTGCAGAGCCACTGCCCCGGCCCACAGGCGGCAGCAGGGACCCGGAAGGAGCCAGGCCTGCCCATCCCTGCTCCTGTGTGCTCCCGGCGGCAGAGCGTCGTGGGAGGCCCCGCCGCCTCCCCTGGCGGGAAGCGGCCCCCAGTTCCCGCCGGGCAGACGGCAAACAGAGCATGGAATTTGCACGGCTGAAAGTTAAATACAACACACACACGGATTTCGTCAGAGGCCCTGGCACCGCTGCCTTCGTGGGATCCGATTAACGGGGAAATAAAAGGGCCAGAGAACCCACACAGCAGAGTGAGCAGATGCCCTATAAAAATCAAATACAGGGTAATCAAGGGGACCAAAAGGTACATTTAAAAAAACAAAAACCCACCCTGGAAACAAAGGAGTTGGGCTTTGTGGCTTTCCTGGGAGGGCTGCACAATTAATGGGGAAGAGCACATGTGTTTGATAATCTTTATATGGCAAAAGACCCATCTTTCAAATATGTCACAAATTCATATTAATCACCTTCCTATTGCCTTCCGTGGCACAGCTATTCCAGTTGCCTCGGGCAAAATTGGGAACTGTCTGGTTAAAAAAAATGTTTTACATTATAATTTACAAGAGCTTACAAGTCTAGTTTCTTTTAATGGAAAGAACGATTAAAAAAAAGAGAAGAATATATATACACCCTGGTATATATACACTATATATATTAAAATATATATATATAAAAGACAGATATTGTAACTCCATCTGGAAAGAGAGAATGTTTGATCTTAACAATGTAACTTCTAGCTTTCAAACAGGCTCAGAAAACAAGAAGTCAGCAGGAGTTCAGATAAAGGAAGCTTAAAAGTCAAATAATTCTGACTCTGAACCCGAGACTTCTTAGACTCAAGGTCCTTTCCTTTACCCATTAATGGGCTGACTTGTGAGCTCAGGAACAAAGTGCTGCAATGTGAGGATTTCTGAGAGTCACTCATTACAGATCACTGAGTGGAGTCTGAGTTGCGGAAATCAAAGGATCCAATCTGGAGTAACTGGCTGAACTTCTGCTTGGAACTAATTTGTTCCGAGTTCGGCTCACCTTTCACCTCCCAAAGGCCCCGAGTAAAGTCCCTACCGGGGTCAGCCTCAAACAGCACCGGGGGGATCCCAGCTCAGCTTTAATGGTCAGCAATGGGCACTGCAGTCCCTGGGAGAGTGTGGACAGGTACCAGGGTAGGAGAAAAGTGGTGGACACAGCAGGGCAGGACAGCACCAGGCTTCCCACTGCCCCACGGGCTCTGAGACAGATGCCTCTCCCAGCCTGGCTAACACACCCTGCTGACATGTCCCCATCCCCACTGCTGGCCAAGCGGGGTGGTGGCAGACAGCTGCTGACAAAAGCAGTATCTCAAAAGACCCTGGTGTGCCTTTGCCCATTCATTCCAATTCCTGGAAAGGAATCCAGACATGCCAGGCAGCGCTCAGGAGTCAGGACTCCTAGTCCTATTCCTGGCTTTGCCACTCACTCCCTCCAACATCTGGAGCAAGATACTTCTCTCCAGGGAAACAAATCTGGCTTCAGGAGAGCAGCTGGTTTGGAAGCTGAACTAATCCATGCTTAATCCAACATGTAGAGTGCCATGGACAGGCAGTGCTAGACAGCACAAAGGGATTCTCCAACTCAGAGGAATCTGAAGGAGGGAGATTAAATGATTCCCCCAAAGGCCCTGGCAGCTGTGGCAAAGCACACGCTTGAACTCGGGAGCTCAAGGCTGACGTGGCACGGTTAAACCACTGCAGCAGGACAAGGGCAGGTGTCATGGCCAAGCACCCACGGCTGCAGGAGGCGAGGGAAGGAATGGCCATCAAAAAGCACCGCTGTGCTTCCACAGGCTGCTTTCCTCAGCACCGTCACCTAGCCCTGCTGTCCCCACCACGGCCTGGGACACCTTGGGGCCATTGCTGTGCAGGGTGGGGACACATGCATGCACCCACCAGCCATCCCCCTTCTCTGTGCTGACCAAGCCCAACAATCTTCCGGAGGCAAATTTCAGCCATGATGCTGGACAAGAGGCACTGGAGCTGCATCTTCCAGCTCTGGGCAGGGCAGGGAGGATCACCAGGACATGACCTCTACCCAGCCTATCTTGGGAAAAGCTGGCTGTGGGCTGCAGGGTGTTGATCTCTCTCTCCCACCACCACGTGGCCCAACAAATGTAGAAAGGTTCAGGGCAAGCACACTGCCAGGCCCTGCCTGACTTTCCAAACATATCTGAACCAGGCAGAACATGGTACAGCAGCCCCATTCTCTTCCTCTCCAAAATACCCCTCCAGCTGGGATGTAATTTCCCCCCCCTCAAAAGGTAGCAAAAAATGGTCACAGTGTGAATGTGCTTGACCTTTTGTCTTGGACTAATCTAATTGTGTCGTCTTTGTGTAATCAGCCGGTAAAGGTCAGTGCTGTATTTAACATGGGGGCCCTTTAGGTACTGAATTTGCCTTGCAGTGAATTAACTTGATTATATTTCTTTCAAATATGTCAGAGACCAGGTCAGTTTAACCCTCTCTGTGCTGCCTGGGCCCATGCCTTTGTTTCCAATTCCAGGAGGTGGCACCGAGGAACAATGTGGTCAGAAACACACACATGGACTCCCTCCTCCTACAGGTATGGCCACCACCACCATCTCTCCCACCTTCCCAACAAGCCAGTTCTCAAGGGAGACCAACTGTACTGTAAATCAGCCCAA